TCGCGTTGTGATGACGTCACATACGCGATTTCGTCGACCGCGATTTTGTCGTCCGCGGTTTTGTGGTAGAACCATAGTGTCAGCCTTATAGGAAATCAAAGGTGAATATTGAAGCAGAGAAATGTCACGGACTTACTTTTTTTTCAGCTAGGCAGAGTTTTTCTCAGTTTGCGGCACTGATGTACTGATTAAAAAACCTCTTCATTGTCATTAGCCTGATCACTGAAACAATGTTTTAGAGGTCAACTCATGACATCAAAGATTTATAGCCAATCAATACTGTGTTTAGCTGGCTTGGGTTGCAAATGGGAAGAATCGGTTTCCTTTGAATTCAACCTTTATCAGAAAATGCTACATCTCGACAATCATGGTCAATGGAGTCAAATTTTATAAATCTGGAAGCCTCCTAATAGCAGTCGTTTTATACCTCTGGAAATAGTTCTGGTTTCTAGAAGTTGCCGCCTCCGTTCCTTTTATATTTCCTTTTGTTGTGGTTATAGTGGCAGGAGTTGCCTTATGCCTAATAAATAATTTACATTTGTTTAGAGTCACCTTGGACAGTGTATAAATGTAATAAATGAATAAATAAAAAGGGTTTTGATTAATATAGTTGATGTAATAGGCAATAAGTGAAGTGCTAAAAGTGTATTTGTTTGTTTTTAAAATTAATCTATCCTAAACCTGTGAGGTAATTTTCAAGGTGCTTTCTAAACTGTTCCTTGACTTTTATTTATTTATTTTGTCAATGTAATCTTTTCCATAGGTTTTAGACATTGTGAAAGTCAGTATTCGCTCTGTCCTGAAGCATATCTGGAGAGTTTCAGATGTGGAATGTTTACATTTATACCGACTTTTTAACCGGGTGTTTAATCGCCTGCTCTGGAGCCATGGCCAAGGGCTGTGGAATTGTTTCTGTAATTCAGGGTAAGAGTATATACAGTCACGAAAGAGACACATAAATTGTTTTTCTTGAATAAAAAACAAGGCTCTTTCTCTTTTTGGGACTTGCTGTAGATTAATTTTCCTCATAGTTAATTTACTCATGCTGTTTACTTATTTAGACTTTCTCAAAAATATTCATTTCTCTGTTTCCATATTTTTTAATATTCTGAGTGTTGAAAAGGTTATGGATGCAGGACTTTTTAATCAAGACAGAATTGCTCAAAATCAAAATCATAGGCATGTTCTTTTGGGGAGTAGTTTGAACTGAAATTTTTACACATACTTTTTGCTGCTTTGATCGTTTGCTCAGCTCTCGTGTTCCCTAATCATCTGGTGATCCATGGGCAACAGTCATGCTGGCAGGACCTACTCTGGACTCAAGAGCAGAAATAGCTCCTATATCTCCTGAATTCCTTTGTGCTCCTTCCAGAGTCCATACTGACAATGTTGCTGGATTTCAAAGGCACACTTGTTGTACAATTCCCATTCCAAAACTCTGTTCTCCTCAAAAACAGTTCTGCCACAGAAACTCTGACTAGTGCGGCCTTTGAAATACAAAGGCTGAATTATTAATTTGTATTTTCCTATTTCCCACCAACTGTGGGTGAAACAGTACCAGCTCTTTACTGTAAACTAACAAGGTCATACATTAATTCACTTCCTTCTCTGTAGCTAAATTTCTCACGTAAAGATTTCAGATTGTCATTTGTGGCGGAAAAGCATGAGGTCATGTCTGTTTCTATGCCAACAGGAGCTCTTGGGAGACAATATTCAGTAAAAGCACAGAAGCCGTGACTGCCGATCAACTCCAGTGTTGCCAACGAATAGTTGAACTTTGTAAACAGTGCCTGCTAGTGGTTTACAAATACTCATCTGATGTTAGAGGGACCTTCTCTGGAATGAATTCTGATTGGGACGACACAAGGTTTGCATGATGCTGAATTTGACATGTTGCGGTCTGTTGTTAAAAGCAATTTAGGGATGCAAGGGCATGATCCATACTGTTGGATTTTGTTGCAGAATCTCAGTTGATACTAAACTTTAAATTAAAAGTTTAATTTAACTTTTAATTTTTCATTGCGATGTAATAATGGCAATCCAGCAGTTTACATGTGTTTAAACTAATTCTTGTGAGAGCCAGTATGGTGTAGTAGTTAAGGCATCAGGCTAGAAACTGGAAGATTGTGAGTTCAGTTTTGCCTTCCTTAATCACAAAGCCAACTGGGTGAACTTGAACTTTTTCTCAGCCCTAGGAAGTAAGCAGTGGCAAGCCACGTTGGAAAAGCTTGCCAAGGAAATCACAGGGATTTGTCTAGGCAATCTCCCATTATTGGACACCACTGAATGGAAGGAGATCCACCTTCACCCCCGATTAATATATATGCAATTTCTAACTTCTGGTTGCTGCCTATACATTTTAGTGCAGAAATATAATCATTTTCTCCCCTTTGTTTTCCAAGACTTAGTGATGTAAAATATCTGAGGCGCAACAAGTTGGTACATGTTAATATAATGAATATGAAATCCCAAGCGCGAATAGATTGGTTTTCAGAGTTTGTTGCAGCAAACACATCCAGAAAGCACACACAGGTAACTGATTCAGCAGGATACATTAACTTCTCATTATATATAATATAATACATGAAGTAAATATACAATACCAAAAACAATTCCAACATAGTAGCAAATACAAGCAAACACAGGCAGAGGAGAGAACAATTTCAGTTTCAGTTCAGAGCAGCAGACTAGTTTTGAGCTCAGCACAGATTCAGAGCTCAGAGCTAAGCCATGCCCTGGCTCCTAGCTGTCTCCTTGTTGCTCACACAGCAGGTACTGTTTCAGTTTCCAAACAGCCCTCGTTGTCTGACCCAGTTGCTATGCCTATTCATTGGCTGACCTTGTTACTAAGCCGTATTCCAGTTCATGAATACTACTACACTGACATTGGTGTAGCATGGATGCACGTCTATACAAATTCTTTTTGGGTCGTCTTTTTAACAAGTAGGAGAAGACATCTATTAGAACTTTTCCCAATTTTGAGCTAATTTTAAAAAGCCATTACTTGTACTGAGTGATCTAGAACAGTTTGACAAAGATTCCTTCAAGTAATAATATCGTTTAGAATAATTTTTCCATCAGCTTCCCAATTCAGCTTTGAATGTTTTAGAAAGTACAGTACAAGTTCTTTGCTCAAGACATCTTTGTTGATTGATTAGCATTTGGATATTAATATCTGGGGCACAATCAAAGAGATGTAAGGTCACACTGTACTTCTAAAAGAACAATAAAGTTTACACAATGGTTCCTCAGACTAAAATTTTATTATAATTATAATTGTCTAATTCTCAGAAGACACAACCCAAAGTAATTTTTTCCTGTTAAATGAGCAGCAACAACAACCAAGGGCTTTATCTGCACCAATTCTGATTTAACTTATAGAATTTGCTGCTATACATTGTAGTAGTAGCCATAGGTTTTAATTATCCAGCTGTGGTATACCCTTCCATTTATTTTTGGACTGATACTGGCCATTGCTCATGATGATTGAGAACGTATAGGCCATACCTACCCCTGCTGTATATTGAGTAGTTGAGAATTACAAGAATATTATTATAAATCAGGGAACTCCAAATAATTCATGCTACTTACAAGAAATGAAAAGCGTTTTCCCCAAAGCATCTAATGTGCCATTATTAGAAGTGATTCTAGGCTAGATGGAACATTATTTTAATTCGACAGACCTTTCAAAAAGGAGCAAAATTAAGCATAGGTATTATTTGATTTAGAAATATAAACCCAATATAAATTGCCTATATAATTTCCTATTACCATAGGGCCATAATAATCAGGATGTGGTGCACCTTTGACATAGCCATGATGTAGAAATATCACAGAGGTCTGATACTGTCTTCCTTCCTTCCAAAATAATTTTATTTGTGGTAAAAGCCTGCGGTACATCACCAAAATTCAACATGTTAGTGACCCTGCCTGCCATTATGTTGCAACACACACACACACACACACACACACACACACACACACACACACACACGACAAAAGTTGAAATACATTTCCAGAGGTTAGTCTCTGCATAACTTTAAT